TTCTGGAGAAAAAGCAGGAAATTCAAACTAGTATTTTGCATTCATATAGCATAAGTGAGGTACTTTTTTTTTTTTTTTTTTATGTCAACAACCCAGAGACTTTAGCTAGATGTTACAAGGGGCTTTAAAGAAGACCAGATATTCATTACCTCTCTTGATTCCCATAAGCCCAATCCTGAGGTCTGTTGTGCATTGTCAGATTCTCTAAACCTAAGTCAGGTACCTTTCCACCACCTTACTATAAAGAAATGAGACAGCCAAGGTTTTTGCCTTTGATATATTCAGTTGGATAGTAGAAGCTATTTGGGAGCTATGGTGGGAAAACAAGAATATGGAAGTCTCACCAAAGCCAAGAACAGAAAGGTGGTTTACAAAAATGATTAAAGTACATCCAATTACTGCAACAGTCTAGTAGTTGGCTTCTACTACCCTTGAGTGGCCCAATACTCTGCCACTCAAGTTTAAACTCTCGCCTGCCTTTCAGTGCTCTGCAGTTGGAATAGGCAGTCCAGCCAACTTTAGTTTCTCTGCTTCTGACATATACTCTCTGATGGGTCAAGCACAACCCCCATGACCCCATTAATATGTCACACTCACTCTGTCCTACTCCCATTATTTCCTAATTTGTCCTCATTTTGGACTGTTCTCTCCTGACTCTCTAAGGTCCCCCCTTCAAGGCCCATCTCCTCTGTGGTGGCTTTTCTGATTTCCAGCCTCAGTACACTCTCTTGTTTAACAGTATTTTCATCACAAATGCCATTTGATTCTCAGGTTGTCCTACAGAGCAGAGAATGACAAACAGTTGCCGACTGTCCAGTTTCACACTGCTAGTTAGAGGAAGAGCCAGGACCAATGCCCATGTCTCCCAACTAATGTAGCCGTAGATGCTTTGCTGACATGCAGTGTATGTCCAGAATTGCCTCAAGAAGGCAGCTCCTGCTGCGGTGACCAAAGAGTCACTTTAAGAAGGAGCTTCTCTTTGCATCTCCTCTTAAGAACATGGAGCAAAGATAGGGACCTGCTGGTGTGGTTGTGCCTCCTCAGATTTTTCTGTCACCATGAAAAAATCACTTAGGAAGGTAGAAGCTACATTTGGCCCAAGCCCAGAACAGTCACGTTACCGGCAAGCTTCAATTTAGACAAGAAATCCAAGTTTGATGTTCTGTCAAGTCACAGAAGACCCAGAGCCTTCTCTGTCACCTTGGCTTCCCCACAGCTCCTAGGGCTGATGCAGATCTGGACCCCACAACAGCTCTCCCCTCCCCAACAGTGTTGTGTCACCACCATAAACTCCCACCTTGGTTTTCTAGGCTGGATCTTTTCCTAAGAAAGGCCTCTGCTGCTTCTGAGAGTATTTATTTGATTCCTTCATAAAACTCATACTCTACTAGCTCACGCAGCATTTTCAACACTTGAAACAATTAAGAATTTTGAGTGACTTACTGCAAAGTGAAGCTGACTATTTTAAAGCATATTCCACCTTTTATTTCCATCTGTGCCATTTAATAGAATAAGAAAACAGCAATAGAAAAAAATAAATGGGGCCTCATATATAAACTTGTTCAAATTCAAAATCATAAAAAAGACCAAGTTTAGTGGCTTGACAGAGACCAGTGAAACCCCCAAGAATAAGGATGGGCAATCTACTTCCGTAGCAATACCACTAGTGATACCACCTTGGAAACCCAAGGAGGGATCGCTATGAGTCGGGTCCAACTTGATGGCACATAACAACATCAGACACCCTTCAGGCATGGAGTAGAACTTACTCTCATTGCTTAACTTCCAGCCAGACAATCAGCCTACAAGGTGAACATTTACACCAAACAGGTACACTCCTTAAAGTCAACCATGGGAGATCAGAAGGGCAGCATTTGCAGAGAGATAGCTCAGAGGGCAGAAATACATAGGAAAGAAGGACACAGGGAAGAAGAGTTAACCAACCACAGGGAGGAAGTGGGAGGAGAGCTATTGCACTGTGGGATTACAATTAATGTCATAAAGCAAAATATGTATGAACTGTTTAATGGAAAACGAATTTGTTCTGTAAATTATCACACACACACCCCCAAAAATTTATTAATCCAAAGATTTTACCAAAAAAATGATAATTCACTGACTGAGAGAGTATCTTTGGAAACTGTATTTCTGATACGAATTGAATAGCCAAAATACATATCTCTCTGCCAGCATTTGTTATTTTTTTGTCTTATTGAACTTTGCTGCTAGTGCTTGGGAAAGAAGGTATCTCACTGTTGTTTTGATTTACATCTCTCTAATGGCTGATAAAGGAGCTCTGGTAGCATAGTGCCTAAGGCACTTGACTGTTAACCAGAAGGCTGGCGGTTCAAACCCACCAGCCACTCCTCGGAAGGAAGGTTGGGCAATCCTACTTCCGTAGTGATACTGCCTTGGAAACCCAAGGAGGGGTCGCTATGAGTCGGGGCCGACTCGACGGCAAATAACAACAACATAAGGTATAAACAACCTACATGGCCATAAACAGATAAATGGATAAACAAAGTGTGGTACGTACATACAATGGACTACTATTTAGCCAGTAAAAGAAACAAAGTCTTGATACATGCTACAGTATAGATGGAGCTTGAAGACATTATACTGAGTAAAATAAGTCAATCACAAAAGGACAAGTATTATCATCTCACTTATATAAAAAGGACAAGAAAAAGCAAATGTATAAAGACCAAAGTTTATTAGTGGTCACCAGGGGACAGGAGGGAAAAGGAAAAGGAGAGTGGGGGTCATGGTGAGGTTAATATCACATGGATTAAGGGTAGGGTTGCACAACCAATTATTGTAATTGCAAGAAAAAAAAAAAAAAGTACCTGCTGGGGCTGCTTATATACAACCAAAATGCTAATGGGATTTGGTTCCTTGGTTTAGAGGTTTAGGGTCATGGTTTTGTTAGGACATCCCAGTTGAAAAGGCCTAGTATCAGGCCCAGTGCTTTTGTTCTATCTCCTAGTTCATTGCTTTGTGCTTCTGTTCTACTTCCTAGTTCACTGTGTAGTACCTGGGGTCTTAAAAACTTGCAAGCAGCCATCAAAGGCACAAAAATTGGTGTTTTTGCTTGGAGAAACAGAGGGAGAGAGTCAGGAATAGAAGGAGATGGATATGTGGCTAATTGCCTCTAAGGACAACTGCCTCCTTTACCATGAGACCAGAAGAAGTAGATGATGCCTACCATTAATGAACATTTTGATCAAAGATTCCACAGAATTCTGATCAAAAGGTGGGGGGGGGGGAATGCAGAACAGAATTTTAAATGCTCATGGACTTCAGACTTTCTGGAGCCACAGAGGCTAGATGAACCCCTGAAACTACTGCCCTGACATAATGTTTAAACCTTAAATGAAAAATAACTCCAAAGTTTCCTTAAAGCCAAACAATAGTTTCGCTTAACTAGTAAAGAATGTCTGCCTTGAATATTATGATCTTTTAAAATCTATGTACATGTGATCAAATTGACAACAGCAACTCAAAAGACTTGGATAGGAGGAACCACAGAAAGCAGTGAGTTTATGTTAATGGAGGAGGAACAACTCTAAAATGGAGGATGAGAATGGCTATACAACTCAAAGAATATAATCAGTATCACTGAACTGTACATGTAGAAACTTGAATTGGTATGTATTTTGCTATGTATATTCTCAACAACAAAAATAATAAAATCAATTATATATATAAAACAGATTTCTACCCATCCAAGCTTTTTCAATTGAAAAAGTTGAATTATTTCAGCCCTTTGACAGCAACAATCTAGCACATTCTGCCCTTAGCCATAGGCCTTCCAGTGGGTTTTGGGAGAGTAGGAAGGCTCAGGAATTCATCTGGTACTTGATTCATTCAGCAACCGGTTGCTATCTGTGTGTCCTAAGGGCTGGAACTGATTTCCATTTAACATACATCTATAAGAGCATGCATGGTGCAATGAAAATGCTGACCTGTACCCTGAAAAGGCTAACAAAACATCTTTAGAAATAGTCCTCTTAATACAGATATACCAAACAGCATGAAAACACTGAAGAAGATATATCAGAATCCCTGAGAGGCATCTGAACTAGTAGTGAGTTTATTATGACAATAGAGTCTAAAACTGTTTCATTAAAAGTAGTTCCTTTGAAGTGTAACCAGTGTCACAGAAAATGTGTAGAAACTGTTGGATGGGAACCTAAACTTCTGTGTAAACCTTCACCGAAAACACGTGCACACACACATTAAAATATTAAAAAAAAAAAAAACAAATCATGTCCTCCTGAGAGAATGCGCCACCCCCCAAGGAGTTGCTTTGGCTTACATTCATGGTTTTCCCATTTAACAAGAGATTTATTCTGTAAAGAGAATTTTAAAATACGTATTAATTCTGAATTTCAACCTTTAATTTCAAGTGCATATTTTACTATACATAAAACATTGATGTTTCAAGTGATTGCAGACTGAAAGGGCAGTTTTAGGGGCAAGGTGGTGAGGGTGTAGCAGGAAGCCATGGGGCTGACATGGAGAGACTATACCATGGGAAGAAGGAACAGAATCCAAAGCAGGGCCCAGGGCACAGGCAGGCTGGACAGGACAAAGAGGTGGCAGCAGATCCAGAAAGCACTGTTACTTCTGGAGACCTCCCCCAATGACCACCCTGTTCTCTACCACCAACCTAGCCCCAGTGCCATCCTATTTCTGGGTGAGGAGCAGCCATGCAGGGAGGTGGAGTGAGGGATGCAGAACCCAAAGGCAGAAGGAATAGCAAGAGTTAAGCCAAAGAAAGTTTACCCCCAGAATCACTCATTACTGGCCAGGACCCACCACAGGTTCTCCACTTGACTTCACACTCTTCTGTTCCCTGCCTGCCACATACTTAAGTAGGCATAATTCTTGTAGCAAAAGCAGATTTGAAAGTAAGAAGAAAACAAGAAGGCCTGCTTAGACTGTGCATAATGATAGAATTTATAAGCAGAAACTTAGTACTTATTTCTGTTCATTATTTAGTTTTTCTTTGTTGAGGACTTTATATTTTCTACATAAGATAAGTACTCGGCAATAATAATTTCTTCATCTTCCAGAGTTGAGTCAAGATAATCTTCTTCATGTTCTGGAATATCTTCCAATATTTCATTGACTGCCTCTGTCTCCATATCTTCATCTGTTGAGGCACTAGAAGTACCTACAATAAAATATCATAGTAGTAAGTGAGTTAAGTGAGATTAGAAGAAAAATCCATGGAATGACTGTATGGATTAAAGTCAACCTCAGGCCAGGCCTTCTGGCCACTCTGTCACACTGCCTTGCAAAGCAGATATGCCCAAGTCACCTTCCTGATAAGTCAGCCTCTTCCTAGGAAGACCACTCCCCATGCAGACATACCTGCAGAACTGGAAGGGGATGTGGATGGTGTTGATGAAGAATCTTCTGCTGAGAGCTGCAGGTCAGGAGGAAGACTTCCACCATTGTGTGCAAGGGTCTGAGCTGCCAGCTGGACATTTCCCCTAAATACTCTCAGCGCTGCTTCGGCAGCAACAGGATCAAAGCCCATGTACACCAGCTAGTAGAGGACACAGGGTGGCAGCAGCCTCAGCCCTACACTGCTGGTCCTGGCCTCTGGTCCCATGTATAACACCCCTGTCACCCACAGGCACAACCAGCACAGCTTCATTCCATGCACAGCACTGCCCATTCTGCACATATCACTCTTAGGAACAGGAACCAACTGCAGGGGCTGATAGGAAAAGGTTAGGACATTCTAGTTACCACTACTATTAATTAAATTGCCACATGTACTGGGCATACTTATTTGTGGGTGTGGGCTGGCAAAAGTAGACATTTATCATTTGGGGCACAAAGTTGGACAGTGTTTCAGAGAAACAGTGATATCCCTTAAGGTCACAGGCTGATAGATGGGGCTAATAGAAAAGCAGGTTGATGTAAAAAGTGGTATGCAGGAGGTGAGGAAACACTGCAAAAATAAATAAATAAAAAGTGGTATGCATGTAAGAAAGGAGAAAACCCTCAAGAAAGAAGAAACTTGTCTTCCTTCCCTGCTCTCTAAGGAAGCACCTCCTACTCCTCCCCACCCGCCTCGCTGTCCCTCCAGAGCTCCAATACCACACAATCAGCCCCACACTCAGCCCTGGCCCTGCTGCCAACCTCGCAACCCTCCCTCACCCAGACCTGCATGAAGCTGGGCAAGCAAGCCCAGAGGAGCATAGTGCAGTATCACTTACTTGATTAATATTTTCCTGGGAAGGACTTTCCTGAGGGCTGTTGGTTTCAGGATCTGAATCATTTAACCACCACATCTGTGGATTACTGAGAAGAATCTAAAAACACACAGGAATACCCTTTACTGATCACAAAGACTCAGTGCCTGTGAGCTGCACAGCAGACACAGCTCCTATCCTCAGTCAAGTAGCAGGACAAGCAGTCAGATATAGGACACTGTGAGGGGCTCTGCAAAGAGTAATATGAAAGCAGAGAAAAGGGACACCTAGGCCAGGCTAAGGGTCAGGGAGGCTACTGTTCAAAGATGCTTCCTACAGAATGGATAACCAAACTGTGGTACATACACACAATGGAATACTCTAAAAAAAAAAAAAATTCACTGCCATCGAGTCAATTATGATAGTGACCCCTCCTTGGGTTTCTGAGGCGGTATCTCTACGAAAGTAGATGGCCCAACTTTCCTTCCGAGGAGTGGCTGGTGGATTTGAACCGCCAGACTTCTGGTTACAAGTCAAATGCCTTAGACGCTACACTAAAGAATAATGTAGAACCTGCAAAACACCATACAACGTGGATGAACTTGGAGGACATTATGCTGAATGAAATAAGTCAATCCCAGAAGGACAAATAATGTATTAGTTCATTATTGTAAAAAGTCAAGGAAAGGTTAATATACGGAAGGAGACTTTCTTTGTTGCTAACCAGGGGTGGCAGGGGAGGGGAGGGGAGGGAACACTGCAAAAATGAAAAAATAATAATAAACAAACAAAAGGTGCTTCCTACAAAAGGTAACAAACATCAGCATTGAGGTTTGAAGGATGAACAAGACAAACCAGGGGGCGGGAAATGACCACTTCTCCCAAGGAAGTATGAAGGGGCAAGGTACAGATAGCAGGTGGAAGAAGTACTTCAAGAAAAGAGTTCAGATGCTAGAGCCAAGAGTTACAGGCACTATGAACAGAAGAAAGGGTTCTTAAGCAGGTCAGGGTGACTCAATATACATTTATCCTTCAAAAGGGGTCACGCCCTCTAGGCTGAAAATATCAGGCAAAGGGTAGACTTTATTTGACCTTAATTTCTCTGCCACGTAATATTTATTCTTAAAGAATCCTTTTGGGGAATTTCCTTTCTAACACTAAACACTTCTGTTTTGGCTCAATCTTTTACAATAAGCCTATATTTATGTACTACTTGTATGACTAAAAATGAGTTTTAAGCTCCATCTGTCCCTATAGATATTCAGACTTTCCTACTTCTTATATATTTCTCCGACACAAGAAATATAAATAGATATTCTAATTTAAAAATTTTAATTAAAAATGTCTGTTAAAATAATAGAGGCACAGGACATCTTAAGGACAATGATGCTATTCTGCCTGACAAACAAATGTACCACAGGAATGAAAGATATTAATAGGAGATACTATGTGTGTATGTGGGGAGGTGGTATATGGAAACTCTCTGTACTATCTGTTTTACTGGTAAACGTAACACTGTTCTAAAATGTCAAGTCTATTAATTAAAACAAAGCAAAAACCCTGACTTATGGGGCCGTCTGTGGAGTGGAACAGGTAGAGTCTGCTGAACATAAAGGGCAAAAATGGGAATGGCTCTCAATTGCCTGCAGGGTCAAATATGAACTCCTGGCCAGGGCAAGCAAGATGATACCTCCCGTGCTGAACCTGTCCACCTGCCCAGCCCCATCTCTGGCTCCTGCCATGCCTCTAGAATGTTCCTAACCTAACTTGAGGCCCAGAATTCCTACCACGCTCACGGTGTCCTGGAAGGAGCAGCTAAACTGACCATACCTGCTCTGGGCCAGGTGGAGGTGAGGTGGGGGAGGCCGCCCTGCTGCCACAGCGCTGGAAAGGAGGCAGTCATAAGGCTCTTTCAAGGGGAAAGCTGAAGTTGCTACGAAGCCCTGGCACTGCCAGCCATTTCCTCTGGTTGCTACGTCTACCCAGAGAGCCTTCTCCTCCCCGTTGCCAGGCCTACTCCCAATATCCTTACTACTCAGCCCCCAACCTTCTACTCTGAAAGCCTTCCCCAACCCCCCACCCTGTGCTCACCCCACAGCAGCCCTTATCTCATTGTGCTCTGTGTTTGTCTGCCCACTAATCTGAGGGTCCCTGAGGGTAGAAACTATTCTCACTTCAAGCAGCTGAAACTCAGCACACACCTGCCTCTATTATGGATTTAATATGCATGTTGAACAACACTTGGAAAGGAAATTAAAAAACAAAAAGCCAAACTCACTGCGTTGAGTTGTAGCTGACTTATAGTGACCCTGGAAAGGAAATGGACCAAAGTAAAATTACTACTCATCTGGATTCCAACTAGTTTTGTCACCAAGAATTTAAAAAAAAAAAAAAAAACTTCGTAAGTACTAAAGCTAGATGTTCAAATTTAAAAAGGAGCTCTGGTGACATTGTGGTTAAAGCACTGGGCTCCTAACCAAAAGGTTGGTGGTTCAAACCCAACAGCCACTCTGCAGGAGAAAGATGAGACAGTCTGCTTCTGTAAAGATTTACAGCCTTGGAAACCCCCTATGGGGCAGTTCTACTCTGTCCTATAGGGCACTATGAGTGGAACTGACTCAATGGCAGTGGGTTTGGTTTGGTTTTTATTCAAATAAAAATTTTAATTCAAAAAAATTATATTAAAAACTTTAATGACCATTCTCCCAGCAATGGAAGCTTAACTATAATGCAGTGCCCCCTTCCTCCATTTGGAAGTTATGCCCATTTACTATTCAACTTTTTGCTACAAAATGAAATCTGACAAAAAGTCCTGCCTGGGGGCTCCTCTAAGTTGTGGAGGAATGCTGTGTCCCTGACCCAAGGAGAACTAGCCAGGCTCCCAGCTGAACTCACCACTTAGGCTCTGTAATTGGCTGACCCTTAGGTTAAAAACAGGAATTAAGAGATTGCCCCCAGCCATTCTTAAAAGCTTTCAGGTGGCATGTAAGATACAACTATTGGTCTCCCTTCATCTGGAGCAAAGAAGAGTGAAGAAAATCAAAGTCATATGGAAACAATTAGTCCAAAGATATGATGAACCCTGGGAACCTCAGCCTTCATGACCCTGAGACATGAAGAACTAGATGGTGCCTGGATACCAACGCCAACCATTCAGAAAGGGATCAAAATTAGAGATCATGGATAGAGTGGGAGGAAAACTGTGGTACAAAATTCAAAAACACAAAATGACCAGAATTACAGGTAGATAGAGACTGGTGGAACCCCTTAGACTATGACCCCAGGTTATCCTTCGGGCATGAAACTAGACTCATATCCATGGATTAGCTCTCAGCCAAACAGCAAAAAGGCCTACAAACAGAACACCTACCCCAGGAAGATGCACCTACCTACCACCCTAGGGAGTATGCACTTTCTAGATCAATCAACTTTGACACATCAGAAGGGCATCATTTGCACAGAGGGAAAGCTTGTCAGACAGGAATGCACAGATAAGAAGAGCACAGGGAAAGGGTAGTCATGGGGAAGAGATTGGAGGAGAGCTCCAATTTATGGCTGGAATTTTAATCAGGGCTTAAAACCAAAAGTGCATGAACCGTGGAGAGTAAAACAAATTTGCTTTGTAAATTTTCACCCAAATCACAATGAAAAAACATTTAAAAAAAAAAGAGATGGCCCCCAATCATGGGCGCCATGAACCCATGAAGGGCCCGGGAGCTACCTATACATAAAATCAGCAGGAGGAAGCTGGACAAAAAGGGGTGAGGGGTTACCCTCAGGGCTTCATCTAGGTCCCCGCTGGCCTGGCGAAGGGCTTGCTTCGCCGCATGTGTGGAGTAGCCCATTCCTTTCAACGAGTTGATGTTCTCCAGGCGGCGCCTTTTCTTCTCCTTTTCCTCTTTCTTTATTTGGGCCAATTCCTTTAGGAAAACAGCAAAGTCACACTGAGTTAGACACTAATGTTTCACAGAAAGTCTTCTAAATCTATGCTCTGTAGGATTCCCAGATTGCCAGGAAAGTGAAAAACAAAATAGGAGAAAGAAGGGTGAACCTTCTTTACCTATTCCCTCCACTCAAACAGCATGGCATGTGTGCTAGAAGGCACATGCTAGAAGGCAAGAGGTCTGCTGAGAGTCTGAGTGCCTCTCCAAGGGCCAGTGAAGTCTGAGACTTCCGCCCAAGGAAAGAAGGAGCTTGGCAAAATTTTCACTATCTGGTGGCTGAACAAGTTGCTTGGAACTCCACAAGCCCCAGCCACTGAAAGCAGCCAGAAGTGGACTGACCATCTCTGAGAAACGGAGAAGAAAAGCTCCTGTGCTGGTGAGAAAACTCCTCAGCCTCTCATCTACCCTCTAGGATCTTGTTCAAATGGGGACGTAGGGCCCCTGGACATCTGCTGCATATCCACTAACCAAACTCTGAGTGGAAAGGTCTTAGGTGCCTCCTAGAAACTAGTATTCCATGTAAAACTTATTGAATGGTAAAAGTTAGCTGGCAGCAGAGATTATCTAACCCACTGGTTTTCAACTGTTTTCTTAGAGGTGTTTGGGTTGCTGCAGGAGCCTAACAATTGAGGCAGAGAGACAGTTCTGGTCTCTTCCCACCTCCTACTCAACCCCAATCAGAAGAGTTCTAATTTTTGTAGAAAACTTAGTTTTCTAAGTTTTGTAAACTTGGCACTGCATGAAAATGCTGCTAAATAGAAAACAAGTTTGAAAACCATGAAACCTTATCATTTTGTTAATGAAGAAACAAATCTTTCTAGAAGTTAAGAAGCCTGCCAAGGTCACAGAGCTGCCAGGGAAACTGGAGCGAAAGCTTCTGCACTCTCAAAGAACACTTTTCCTTTAATTACAAAAGTAATGCTGTCTAAGCCAGGTTTCTTTTAACCATTTGAGTAAACACTCTGAGGAAATTACTTTCTGACACTCCTTTTTATAATAGAAAGAGCTACAAAAATAAATTAGACCAAATAAATGACTGAGTACGATACTGAAATATTTGATAGATATACAGAAATTAGACTTCCTGAGAGAATGAGGCTCTGAGGTCAGGGCTTAAGGCCATGGATGGTCACAATCACCCATAAAAACCTCTCATGGTTTCTAAGTATGTCAGCACCATAGCTTATTCAGGCTCACTTTCTTCTACCAAGTGAGAAAGTAGCCTGTGCATTCAGGGCCACATCGCATGATAACTACACTTTTAGGAATTATATATTACACACAGCTTGGTGACATGATGGTCAAACCTAGAGTGTCTTAGGCTCCCACCTAGGTTTACATTCTAGGAGACACTGTGTTTGTCTTCCCAACATCCACTTACCTCTCCCTAAGGCTGGAGAGACTGGCCAGCTCCAGACATAGACCTTTAATGGCCTGTGCCAATGAGGGCAATCCTATCTCTCTTGTCAGAGACCTAAACCAATCAGATTGTGGCACTACTCTGGCCGGTGACTGGTTCATGGTGAGAAGCCAAGGATACTTCTGGGATATAGCTTATCCCTCTCTTGGTGTGATCAGATGACAATGATAACACAGGAAAATGCAGAGAAGAGACAAAAACTACGTTCTCAATGCCATTGTATCAACTAATGCTAAAATCTATCCCACTTCCAGCCTTTAAATTCCCTTTTTCTTTTTTGTTTAAGCCAGTTTAATTTTTTTTTTTTTTTGCTTTTAACAAATTTTCTTTATTTGTAAAGTAAGAATAATTTGCCCTACTGGCCTCAGAGGAGGTCACAGGCAGAAGTGAATGAAATCATGATTCTGAGAATGTTTTATAAAATATTATACAAATGTAAGGAATGATTATAATGAGAATTATTTTCAGACTATCTATTTTTAAAACACTGGCTTTCCAAATGTAATAAAATTATACACACAACACATGGACATTGAGTCAGATCCTACTCATAGCGACCCCTCCTTTGGTTTCCGAGGCAGTATCACCACGGAAGTAGATTGCCCAACCTTCCTTCCAAGGAGTGGCTGGTGGGTTTGAAATACCAGCCTTCTGGTTATCAGTCAAATACCTTAGGCACTATGCCACCAGAGCTCCTTATAAAATTATGTAGATAATCAAGTAATAGTCAAGTAACAAATGCAGTATCAGCAATGTTTGCTTGCCTGTTAGTAATGAATTAGACTATGTAAAATGCAAACACACAGGATTTAGTTTTTCATAGACCTCTGGTGGCACAGTGTCTAAGACATTTGACTGCGAACCAGAAGGCTGGCAGTTCAAACTCACCAACCACTCTGCAGAAGGAAGATTGGGTAATTTACTTCTGTAAAAATTTACTGCCTAGAAGAACCAATGGGAGTCACTATGAGTTGGAATCAACTCGATGACAGTGGGTTTTTGTTTTGTTTTGTTTTGTTTGCCTTTACCTTCTCACTGACTTCTATAGCAAGACCCAGTGGAACATGATCTAGGAGAGCAGTCAGGGCAGAGAGAGAGAGAGAGAAAGATAATTGACTATGGGAGAGAAAGATAACACTGCCAGAAGAATCTAAACCCCCTTTGGACTGGCCGCCATCTACTCCCACCCAGCACACTGGGCTCTCCTTCCCCCTTTCAAATACCATCTCAGGCTGCTTTTTTTCTCCAGTAATCCTGGTATTGAGCAAAATGGAAAAAGGAGAGAACATATAAATGAAAAAAAGACTCCAGAGACTTCTACGGCTAGAGTTTATACCTAGAAAGGACCTATGAGAAAATCTAGTTTCTACTTCTTGTATCAGAGAGAAGAAAAATGTTCCACTCCTAAATATCCCATCATTCTCTCAGGACCTGTTTCTTTACTGTAAAACTGGCATGCTGGATTTGCTAAGGCTCCCTCTAACTCCAAAATCTAAACTTTACATTTTTTCAATGTTCTTAATTCTAACTACTTTAAATGATCATAGTTTTTATAACTTTGCTTTCATAATATTATGCTAATTATTCCTATCATTTGACTCATGTTTCTAGGCAAGAATATGCCTAAATTATAATAGGAAAAATAGCTTTCATGGAAAAATAGTCCCCTTTACAATGGTTTCCAGGAATACACTATGATTTCTTCCCCTAAAAAAGGACAGAAGATTGTGTGTATAACCATATCAATGAGCTACCTGCCATATGACATCAGGAAATAAAACTAAGGAAACTGTACTGTCAAATAATTGATATAATTTTTTTAAAAGTTTCTCCTTACTTTCCACTAAAAAAAAAAAAAAAAAACTCACTGCCATTGAGTTGACTACGGCTGGTGGGTTTGAACCACCACCCTTCTGATTAGCAGTGAAATGCCTTAGGCACTACACCACCAGAGTGACAGAGAGTTCTTTATTATTAATACTGACCACGGAATTACCTTTTTATGTTCTTGCATATGCAAGAGAACTAAGGCATCCCAGAAAATAAAATCTAACTGTCTTAACCTTCACAACCCACTCAAAGAACATGGTAGAGCCTCAGCCAGGCAGGGCCAAACAGGTTCCAGTACCTCTCTGCGGTTGGTGATATGAGTGGCTGCATGATCCACATTCCCATCACATGCCCTCAGGCCCAGCCGGGCTTCCTGTGCTGTAAATCCCAGTTGCAACAAATTATGAACTTTTGATGGATCGATGTATAGCTCTTTAAAAAGCAGACGTGCCTATAACGGAAATATGTAAGAATCATATCAATGTAGGAATGCTAAGCTTCAAACAAAGCTAAAGCCTTAAAGAACTTGGATTGTACCAAATGAATTACGGTATGCAAGATTTTAGAGAAAAACTCTGAATAGAACCTAATCAACTAGCACCCACCACTCCTCTATCATTCTGTCGTACTATGGTGGTTTACATGTTGCTGTGATGTTGGCAGCTATCCCACTAATATTTCAAATACCAGCAGGGTCACCCATGGTGGAGAGGTTTCAGCAGAGCTTCCACAGTAAGACAGACTAGGAAGAAGGACAGGGCCATCTACTTCTGAAAAAAGTGGCAACTGAATGGCAGTTATGAATAGCAGTGAAACACTGTCCAACAAATTACTGGAAAACTTTATGAAAAGCAGAGAAACACTGTCTGATAAAGTGCCAGAAGAGGAGCCCCTCATGTTGGAAGGCATTCAAAATATAGTAACACAGGAAAAGCTGGGGAAGAGCTGCCTCCTCAACCTTAATGACGTAGATGGAGTAGAGCTTTCAGGGCCTTCATTTGCTGTTGTGGCACAACTCAAAATGAAAATTAAAAAAAAAAAAAAAAAAGTTGCAAGCATCCATTAATAATCAGAACCTGGAATATATGTAGTATGAATCTAGGAAATTTGAAAATTGTCAAAAGTGAAATGGAACACATAAAGATTGATAGCCTAAGTCAAAAGAGAACCTACAGATTGGGAAAAAATATTTGGTAATGACATATCTGACAAGGGACTTATCTCCAGAATTTATAGAAAACTCCAACACCTCAATAACAAACAGACAAACAATGCAATTAAAAAATGGGCAGAAGACATGAATAGACACGTCACCAAGGAGGATA